TTAGTTTCTTCCCCTAGTCTTGGGTGGTTTCCCTACACAGCTGCACAAATCAATACTCAGACAGACTTACGCTGACCCTATGAAGATATCCAGACTTCTCTTTCTGTAAAGCTCCCTCTGTTCCATAATGTTTTCTCCTCAGTTCAGTCAATTGAACTCTGTTTGGTTTCTTACTCCATGCACTGTGGTTTGGAAGATCTTTTTAGCCAGTAATATAGGGAAATCGTAGGGTATATCTTGGTTTTGCTTTTCTTTCAGGAAATAGTCTCCTGTACTTCTTGCTATTCAATGCCTAAGCACCTTCATTTCTCTATTTTGTCCAAATATACAATTGTTAAAGTGAGGCATTAAATCCTGACTCCATTACTTTATCATGAGCAGATAGATGTACAAGCCTTAAATGACTTCCAAATTATTTAAGTTTGGAAAAAAGCGATTCGTTGTGCACAGATTTATTTGAATACTAGATATAGACTTTCTGTAGTCAAATTAAATCTATCCATAGTTAGACAATTTAACCATCACATTTGAAAAAACAAACAAACACCTGTGCCTTTTGTCCAGAAAAGAAGCAATGCAATTTGGTGTAACTTGAAATCTCTATAACTATTTACCTATATCTATATCTATTTATATACACGTATACATATTTCCACAAGATGCAAAGACCAATCAAGTTAGACTTAATGAATACAGTGAAGCCATTAATTTGAATAATTGCAAGAGTAGTTATGCCAGCCAAAACAATACAACAATTTTAAGGCCTACTTATATAAAAGTGTTTCATACATCCTCTTAGCCTTGATAAAGCTATATGTAACAAAGCTCATTTTTGACCCATGTGCTAAATTACTTATTAAATTTAGTATATAAACAATCTTATAAAACAGCCTTACCCATGCACTCTAACAAATCTTCACCTAGAATATCTATATAATTTTTATTTTAACAAACTCACATTTATAGGTATATATATGTATTCTTTTCATAAAATATAGTAGTTTTGTTGGGTTCCTAGCTATCCTGTATGTCAATTATTGATGAATATATAATATTAACAACACACATATGGACAGACTATTTTCTGCAGAAATATTCATATTTTAGGAAAAGGACTGCCAATAACTTATTCTTTACAGGGAAGAATTTATTCTTCTAGTAAGATTCACATATTGTCAATAAGATTAGCCAAATCTTACACATTTGGATAAAAATCTACATGTGGAATATGTTGTCATGAAGTATCTGAGATAAAGTGACTAATAACCATTGGACTAAAACTAATATGTAAAGTATGTAATAAGAAAGGTATCTAAACTTTCTAAAGTGATATTCAATTTTCTAACTACATATAATTATATTAATATATTAGGAACAGTCATTGGTATTAGTCACTGGTATTAGTTCATGTTGCCTGGATGAGCATGATTCACCAACTCCATTTTATACCTTATTCTCATCCTCCCTCCCCACAAAACACTAGGACATACTTAATCTAAATTAGTTAAATACTACATGTTAATTTAAATATTATTAATTTACTGATTTTGAAAATGTAGCACATTTACATTAGAGGATAACTGTTACTTAAATATTCACTATGTGCCAGATTTTGTCCTAATCACTGCATATCTATTTTCCTACTTCACACAAAATTATATGTTGGGAATTGATATACTGATTTTAGAAATAAAGCTATGAGAAAAATAGCTGAACTACTTTAATCATTTTCTCCTAAAAATGGTCATCTTAAGTTAGAACCAGGTTTCTTTCTTACACTTGCCACTATTCTATCCTACTCAGAAATATTATGGTTTTGATAAACGGCTCCAATATCTCTGTCTCTTCTGAGATTCTAAGACTACATTATAATAATGCAAGCTGAAATTTTCCTGACTTGTAACTGTAAAGTCAGATGTTTCTTCAGTTAAATGTGACCCACTTAGTACAATAATACCTGGGATCCTCACACAAGGCTACATTAAAATAGCCATTAAAATGTTGCATTAGGCCTGGTATAATTTTTCATGCCTATAATCCCAGCATTTTGAGAGACCAAAAGGATAGATCATTTGATTCCAGGAGTGTGAGACCAGCCTATGCAACAAAGCAGGATTCCATCTCTACAAAAAAATGGTTTTTAAAAAATTAGCTGGCACAGTGGTCTGTACCTATAGTCTCAGCTACTCAGGAGGCTGAGGTGGGAGGATCACTTAGTCACCAATGGGTGTGAGACTGCAGTGAGCTATATCATGCCACTGCACTCCAGCCTGGACAATAGAACTAGACTCAGTCTGTAGAAAAAAATTAAATAAATAAGAAAAATTAAAATGTGCACTGTAATTATCAGATTATTAAACTAGTTTTGCTAAATTGAGAAAACTTTACATTAATTTTCTTGATTTATATTCTGCAGCATTGTTAAAAATGTAAAACAAATCACATTACTTAATTCAATATTAAAAAGTTTTCATTCTCTACCAATATATGACTGTCACTTATACATTTCATAATGACAGTTGCAATAAAATATGCTGCTTGCATTATTTCTAATGTAGTTTTTTTTAAGCAGAGTTTCATTAACTCTGTGAGGTTTTAGGCAGAATTTTGTGTGGGTAAAATTTATTGAGCTGTTATTATGTTGTAGACATTTAAAGTATTTTACTTAAATAAATACTAAATGACTTAATTTTAAAGTAATATGGATAATTAGGTAATTTTAAGAATATATCAATCTATTCTGCATCCTTGCCTATAAATAGATTGTATTGAGTGTTAAGCTGTATACATTATAGGATTTCAAAAGTTGAATTTATGTGCTTTGTTTAATATTTGGACTTCCAAAAGGGTCCAAAAGTACTAAAAACTTATGAAACTGGGTCTTAACACAAAATGTCACATTAACTTTTGTAAAGAGTTGGGTGGGGGAGATAATATTCCAGCCAGCAAGCAGTCATGATTACCATCCACTGGTTTGATTCTATTATTGGCCGAATATAGATTAATGTACTTGTCTCCATTGTTCTGATGTATAATATATAAACACGATTACTGGGGTGATTTAGAAGTGGGATACATTTAATCTGCTGCTCAGATCAATCAATTACAATACATAAGTTATAAAATGTTCTGTGATCTTACAATGAATCCTTAATAGAACTAATCTTGGACTTAAATGAAATTGGGAAACCTGTGAAGCCCACAGAGCTCACACACTTATAACAGACAATGGAGCTTTAACCACCACATATTTAATTAACCAACCCAAGCAAACAGAGACCACTCTGAAAGTTGTAGAGAAAGACATAATTCTTCAGGAAACATTAAGCAACTTTTTCTCTTGAAGAAGAAAAGTGGAATTCAAGGGTTTCCAGATTCAATATCCTATGAAAGTTAGTTTCAGACTTATAATTAGAGACATTATACACAGTTACCTTCTGCATGTCAATATATGTTGTCATGTGACAGATAAACTTTGTGCTTCCTGCTGTATTTGGAGATACCTATTTCTTTAAATATATTCATTCACTAAATTTATGTGTAGTTTTAAAAAAGTTTAGCTATCTGACCTTTGCCTAATTTATTGTTATATTATGCTATGAAATCTTAATTAAAATACAACATTATACATGAAACTTTAGTTAGAATCTACACAATGTGCAATTTCTTCAGTTTTTTTTTTGGAGTTCTGATGCATTTTGAAAGGAAGTTGAACTTCGGTTAAGATGCTAAAGAGAAGAAATATGTTTTAGAAATGGACGTAAAAAGCACTCTGTATTTCTTTGGGTATTTGGTGAAGACAAGTGGTGTGTATGGATATATCAGGGACACTTGCCTGAGTTTGTAGTTCTATTTTCTGTGGCTGGTTGTAGGCAGAGAACAGTTGTCAACGGCAGAGTCGGATTCAAAACCATGGATAGCTCCACACTTTCAGCACCTGGGAGAGAAACTGTAGTCTCCCAAGCTCAGCTGCCGCTAGCGAACAGTATGACAGAATGTGTATATATATATATATATATATATATATATATATATATATATATATATATATTAGCAGAAAATAAAACCATACACTAGCAATGTATGGCTTTTTATATTCCCACAGAGGCAACTGTAAGGATTCAGGAAAGCTCAAACTACTAGAAGAGCCTAGAGGTTGTCATAAGTAGCTTATTTTTAAAGTAAACCTCATTGGCCATACAATTCAACATTCCTAGGAACGTCTTCCGTTTGATTTATTTGCATTACTTTGATATCAAACATGAGGAATTACTTTGGTTCTTGTTTTCGTTTATATTGGGAGGGTTGTGGTTTTGGAACATAAAAGTTGTTATGCTTAATTCCTGGTTATTGCAATCCACCTGATTCACCTTCCTAAACTAACCCTGCCTCTCGGCCCCTCTCAGTTCCACACTCATTATGTCACTTCAGATTTTAAGCTGTAACTGAGAAAATTAGAACCCAGCTGACTCAAGGTACAGGCATAGCAGGCTAATGAGCTGCAAGAACCATCCCACCCCCCTCAAATTCTATCATGCAACTGCATGTGTTGACAGGAATCTCTGGACCCTTATCTCCAGCAGGAAATGAGAGTTTCGTCTGTGTTCTGCTTGAGTAGATCGAAGTTGTAGCAAATTCCATTTAGAGAAAGGAGCGTGGAGAGGGGCTACTGGGTTAAGGGAGCGGGGGAGAAAACAAAAATATAGGTGAAAGAAGCAAGAAAAATTAGAAAAACAACTTCAAAATCAGCTTTCCTGGCATGGATTGTCACATTTGTTTTCCTAAGTCTCCAGGAGGATTGTTTGAACAGAAGATTCTGTATATCCTGAGATTCCCACGCTGGCAGCCTTTAAGTGAGAAGGAAGAGGACTCTATTCTGCGATTTGAACCCTTTCCTATCCCATATGAGATGATTCTTTAGAGGTGGTGGAGGAAAGCAGAATGTGGCTAGTGGGTTCCGGAGATGAATGGCATTGGAGGTCGCAGCAAGGCTGGTAACTCTTAGCCCCACCCACCTTTTGTTCCCCCTGGCGCCCAGTCTCACCTATTTCAAACTCTTTCCTTGTTTTGTACTAGTCGCGCGCAGTCTTTGGCCTTCTCATCTTTGGCCATCTCATCTTTCTCGCAGCCTAAGGCACCTGGAGACCAAATCAACCCCCAACCTTGCAACCCTCCTGGGACTCAGGCAGAAACTGGGCATGCTCAGAGGCGCGGGCAGCTTTCAGTCTTTCCGAGGCGCGGCTCAGCGCTGGGCAGGGACCCGCGTGCCAGTTCAGTTCGGGCTTCAGCACCCACCTCAGCTGAACCCAGGGATCCGAGCTGCTCCCTGAGGCTAAATCTACACCCTTAGATGGTTCATTCTCAATCTTCAACCTGCTGAGCGCCAACAGAGCTTACAAATAATCCTCATTAAGGAACTGTTTTCCCACCTGTCTTTTCCTTGCAGCTAAGGGTCGTTTAGCTACTGCGGCGCGAGGAGCTCAACCCTGTGGCTGGTGGCCTTAGAGATCACCTTCCCCGAGTAGCTGTTTGTCACTGAGTTTTGGAGATTTCTTGGCTGGCTTCCGTTAAAGCATGCTTGAGTAATCCGAGCTGTGGCGGCGCCCAAGCTATCGGGATAAAGGGAGCGTGTGTGTGTGTGTGTGTGTGTGCGTGCGTGTGTGTGTGTGTTAGGGGGAGAGGGCGGAGATAGAAACGTCAAGCCCCCCCTCCCCGACCCCCAGCCTCCTTTTCTTTCTCTCCTTCCTGCAAAAGCTGCACAAGTATTCCATCCCCCCCTCAGCCACCCTCACTGCTCTGGGCAACCGCCAGGTTAAGCCCATTTGCACTGAGAAATTGGCGCCGTTTGGGAGAAGAGAAACAGATCGATTGCCCTTGTGACTCCCCGCCCCCTTCCCACCCCACCCCCACCGCTCCCTCCCTCTTTTCCTCCCCCGCCACCTCCCCTCACCCCGCCTCCTTCCCGCTCCCCACCCCCAAACCCTCTCACCCGCGGCAGTCCGGTGCGAGGCCCCCTCCGGAAGGTGAGGGGAATGGATTGGACTCCGGTGGGGAAAGCGGGTGTCTAGAAGTGGTGCTAATGGGAAGAGAATTCTGGTTTCAAAAGAGGATGCTCCGCCACAAAGAGCGGCTCGCGCGCTGGCCTGGGCTCTAGCCGAGGAGAGATCCCGGGAGAACTCCAGAGCTCCGGGGGAGCGCTCCTCGGAAGACCGGGGCCAACATGCCTGTGCGCAGGGGGCATGTGGCACCACAAAATACATTTCTGGGGACCATCATTCGGAAATTTGAAGGGCAAAGTAAGTTCATTTGTTCTCTTCTCTCGCCCTCGCTTTCTGCTTTGATAGTGCACTTGCGTCCGCCGCTTCGAAGCTGGGGAGACCGGCAACTCCAGGCTCTGTCAAGTTAAGAGGCTGTGAAACCGAGCCAGGAGGTTCGAATGGCAGCGGGAGTGTTCTCCTTCTGATATTAATTTTGATTTACATTTTAGATTACGGTCTCCATTATAGGAGGCAATTTGATCCTTCTCTACCACTGCTCCATTATCTGCCTTGCTACTTAATGTCCTACTATTCTACTATCTTAAAGGGAACGTGCTAGGATAACATGGGTTTATATTTTGAGGCTGTTTTACTGTAGACTTTCTGAAAGTCGGAAGCAGAGCAGACCATACTATTCCAACAAGATAATGTAAATGGTAGTAGTGATGTAAATGGCTATGCAAACTATATTTTACCTTGGTTAAACTGCAAGGCAGTGGTATGATAGGGATGCTTGCTTGCTATTAGTTTATAGAAGCTAAATTTTGTATTGAATCAATGCAAATTTATCCTCAGCAGGATAATTTGGAAAAGCAGTATCTCATCTGTGGTGGTTCCCGATGCAAATAACTCATTATTCAAAATAATATTCCTATTCTTTTTTTAAATCCCCTTTAACATTTCCATTTAGAAATTTAAAAATGAATTGTAAGAAGTAAATTCCACAAAGACTGAATGCACAGAAATTTAATGTTCTCATGTGGACTAATTACAGGGAAAAAAATTGTTGGTATACAAATATATTAACTTAAGATCCTATATTTGTAAACTTATTTTCGTCCTTTTCTTAAAACTCTATTAATACATTTGTATGTCATATATTTTGCAGTTATTTTAGCACTGCATTTAGAGATGTGAGGATCTGGTACCTTGCATACAAAATAAACTTGTATATCTTGCTTCACCATCTATCTGGAAATAGTAAATACAATCTGTGATCAAAATTAATAAGCTCTTTGTATTAAAATGCCTACTACTACACACAAAAAAATCAAAAATCTCCCAAAGTAAAAGTAAAAGGTGTTATCATGATATTTACTGTGTGTATGTAAATATTTTTTGTTTCAGAAAAAATATATTATGAAAAGATGAACCTTTTCATTATTGAACTGATATTAAATGTGAAGTAGTTTCATTAGCAAAGCTAGTTGTCTTTGTTTTTAACATGATGTGTGTGACATGCCCAAGAGAGATAGAGAGAAGCCAAAGAATAATAACTACTTTAAGAAAGTTGTATTCAAAGGGCCAAGGTTGAAATGAGAGGTCTGACAACTACAGAATGTTTCACTGTTTGACTTCGAAAACATTTACCTTACAATTAAGTAACATTCTGAAAATATCAATGGGCAGCTGCTTGTCTGAGTGTCCACTAGGATCCCTAGCAGTTGCAGGGCTTGAGAACTAGACTATTTGGGAAATTCTATTCTTGCAATTAGAAGGGTAGTTTCTTAATATTTTCTGTTAAAATTATTTAGGATAATTAATCTCACATTTAAAGTTTACGGGGTTTCTTGTGTTTTCTTTTTTATAAAGGCTGGGGCAATTAGTAATTTGGGTGCACCTGCATTTCAGACTCATTATGCAACAAATTGCTTCAGTGTTACAGAGAATATTGTGGAAGCTTTTTAAAAGATGCCATACTGTCTTCTTATTACAGATAAAAAATTTATCATTGCAAATGCCAGAGTGCAGAACTGTGCCATCATCTATTGCAACGATGGGTTCTGTGAGATGACTGGTTTCTCCAGGCCAGATGTCATGCAAAAGCCATGCACCTGCGACTTTCTCCATGGCCCTGAGACCAAGAGGCATGATATTGCCCAAATTGCCCAGGCATTGCTGGGGTCAGAAGAAAGGAAAGTGGAGGTCACCTATTATCACAAAAATGGTAAAATTTATCTATTTAGGATTCTTTCCATTTGATGCCATTGAAAAGATATTTTGACGATTAAAAGTTCATATGCAGAGAATCCCAAAATGTTCAATTACAGATATGTGCTTTGCTTGTAGTATTTGGGGATCCTGCATATGGGTACTCTGATGAGGGGTCTGGTAGAAACAATTTCTTCTTTGAATAAGGATACTGTGAATTGTTCAAAAGTACAATAACATAATGTCACAAAAGTTAAAATGCTACAAATCAGTCTTAGATACTTCTCTCTTTACAGAATTATAGAAAGATCAACAATTTACTGCTGGTATTGGTTTGCATTTGGTAGGTGAAAAATACAGTGTTATTTGTTTTAACTCTAAAATACTCCACAAAGCAAATTCGTGTTCAAAACTATATCTAAAACTATTAGTTATGTCTCTTGGCTCTTTAGATTTAGTTGAAAGGCAACACCTCTTGCTTCTTTTGCTCCTTCTTATATAGGATTGAGGATGATAAATAGGAACTTTTACATTGATCCAATTAACCTGTGTATATTCAGATAATAAAGGCTGTTTATGTAGTCATAATTTGTTCTAAAATAAGAAATGTAGAATAAATTATGATACTGTGGAGTTATTAGTATTCATTTTTATAACTACAGCAAAACTGGCACCTTAAACTTAAGGTCATACCTCAACTTCAAGGGCAATACCTTCTTCTGTCAAACTTGCTATGAGAGCAATAAGAGTTAGACATAATAGCTCTCTTTAAAAATTACACATGTAATATATAGGCATGTCTTAAATACACAATATATATGTAAATGAACTCACATGTGTAAATACTCAGTATGCCCATTTTAAGGTATATATATTCCCAAATATCTGTATCTATAATGATATTTGACAATCTAGGGATTAAAGGTAAAATTATTTTAAAAACTTGCATGTTATAGTTAATTTTGTTGATATTTTATCATCATCTATTTCTTTTTATCCCACTAACAAAAATTAGTAAGGCAGAGGGGTAACTGTTCAGATTTTTAGAAAACTCTTAAGTTTCTTATGAATATGTAATGTGCCATAGCTTATATCATATAATGACTCATCATTTCGTAAACTACAGAGAGAAAAAGCAGCAGGGAAAATGTTTAACTCTTACTCTTGTTTTCTTATAATACAAAGTACAATGTACAATTCTTAATTACTACATTTTCCTTAACATGAACTTGAGTGGTTACAAAACATTACAGGAAAAACAGGTTTGTATAACTTTGTAGTAATCTGTAATAAAATCAATTGTATAGTTATCAAACAGATAGAAATTGTTTTTAAAGTTCTGCCCACATTTCTCTTACTTTTCTGTCAGTAGTGTTGGCATACTAGAAACAGCCTAATTTCTCTGTTGTCTTGAAATTTGTTGAATTGAACTCTCACTACCCAAATTCAACTCATGTCTTTTGAGTATCTGATGCCAACAATCTGGATGTCTGAAATAATTTGAATGTCTGACATTTTTTCTTATTGAATATTTATTATGATATCAACACAGTCTATATTGTGGCAACTTGAGTGCATGTTGGTCCATCTTTGGTCATCATATTTTCTAGACCATTTCACGGTTTTTTACAACTCATAGAATTTAAGTATGACATTAATCTGGATTGCCCAAATTGCTCGGATATCAGGTATCTTTCAGAGTGTTTTCAAGTAGCAGTTATCTATTACACCACAAGTGGTATGATGATGTTTTGAAAGTTGTTCAATGGGGGTGTGTAAACTGATTTCAAAACACCTTAAAACAACAATTTAATAGGAGTCACAAACATGATTAATTCCTCTTATATTGTTGAATCTTCTGTATTAAACAGAAGATTTTTTGAATGATTTTCTTGGTTATATGAATTAAAATGCCGCTTTTTCAGTAAAGAATTTTTGGTTTGAATGATTTTCTTGGTTCTATGAATTAAAATGTTATCTGAATTTTGTTTGAATTATTTTCTTGGTTATATGAATTAAAACACCCCCTTTTCAGTAAAGGATTTTTGGTTTGGAAGCTTGTTTAGGTCTGAAAAATTAATCTTTGGTAAAAATTTTGATTCTGTTGACTTCATTTTCAGATGTAACTCAATCTTTAAGGACTTTAGTATCTTTAGCATTAACAATAAAATCTACCCATTTTATTTTAATTGATATGGAAAACATGAGCTGATGAGCCAAGCATTTTTTTTTCTTCCAAATAAAAATATTAATTTGAATGACTTTTTTAGATAGTGAAGACACAGTCATATTTATTTGCTTCACATGTAATAAACTTGTGTTTTAGCTACTAGTTCAAATACCTTGAATAGAATTTTCACTGTGTCTTGGGATTATTTATATGACAACTGCAAAATCAGTTAGAGCTTATGAGGTACAAATTCTTAGATAGTCTTACCACTTAGAGATAAGACTACTGCCAGCTATGCTACATTTATAAAAGCAGGAAGAGGGAAGATCACCAACATTTTTGTTGATTTGTTTCTCAAAGTTTCCTTAATTCCTTGTTATTGATGCCATGACTTTTGAGACTCTCTTGATTTCTTAACTGCATACAGTAAATCCTTCTTTGGCTTATTGTTTATTTAGCATTTCACAAGAATATGAAGAGTGATGTAATAAGCCCAATGAACAAATCAACAGAACATTGATACATTCTGTTTCCATTTCTTCCATTTGCTCTTACTGGCGGAGTAAAAATATCACTGAGGCATTATTTTGGAAAGCTTGTTCACTAAAGTGGCCCAGAGGCTTTATAAGCAATTTAAACCCGTGATCTATGCAATGAGTTCACATTGATGCAGTTCATGGTGAATGGCATGATTGTCATTTTGAAATAACACTTCCTACTATGCTCCTATATGTGATTGTGCTAGGTACAATTAAACTTGCTGTTTATCAGAATATCAATTTTTAAAAACCTAGTTATTTGCAGTAGGAATTTTTGACAGCTCTTCCTTTGAGGATTCTATTTTACAGTTTAAGTCATTATTGCATAAATCATCCTTGGCAGCTGTGAAATATTGCTTGAGGTGATAAAGCTGTAAATCTTTTGACATAAAACTCTAATTATACAAAACTATAATTATGCTGTGACTTATATAAGGATGGGCATGCATTTTAATAGCATAATAGATTCATTTAAAAACACCTTTTCAGCAACAAAGTTTAAAAAATAGCAAACACTTCAGTTATTAACTAGTTCGTAGTTTGTAGATGATGCAAATAGAAAGGAAACAGAAAAAAAATAGCTCCCACAACTAAGTTTATCCTTCATCTTGTTTGGACTACGTCACAGAATAGAGCGAGCTAGTTTAAGTGCTAACCCCCTTCAGGCATATTTAGAAATGTGACATTGACCTTAAATTATCAAGCAACTTTAAACATTTGAAAAATCAAAGTAAATTTCTCCACTAGAAATAAAGATCTTTACTCAGTTGGAAAGAAGGACTTAAAATGTATTATTTTTTGAGGTCAGAACATTCTTGTATTTTTGCCATTATGCTTCCATACACACTATGGTAGCAATTTTGCTAACAAATCAGAAATACATAGTGCTACTTTCCTTATCTTCATGCTGCTTTTAAAGAACTGAAGAATGATAAGGGGCTGAGGTAAGTCCTTGCCTAATCCAGTCAGATATCACTACAGAGGTAGAGTTTTATTAACTAAACTCAGAAGAGGTCTTGCTTTGGTAGTATTGAACTTACTATATCTGAGCATTATGTGGAAAGATCTTCTAAAAACAGCTTTATTTTTGTGAATCAAGGCGAAGATGTAGATTGAGCGCCTCCTCTCTCTCATGTAATGTACCAGGCACTATAAGAACAGTAGGAAGAGATACATAGGAGGATTTCACCTGATCTCTGTGGAACACTTGTATTACAGAGTGGCTAATGTTCATTTCTATCTTCTACATTGCAGCTGTTTTTATAAAATTATTTTTAAAGGAAAAACAGTATTTGGACTATGGGGTTGTTAAATGCATAGAGAGCCTACAAAATTTAGTATTAATTGCTGTTTTCCTTCTATTCCCCAAATTTAAAATAAACATGCTTATGTGTATCTTTTTTCACCTTTGTCATGTATACATAATAATATATTAAAGAAGCAATGAAGTTTAGTTAAAAGTTTATTAGCACAAACAGAAATTCCAAAAACTTTCATAATAGCTTTATATAAGTTATATGGCATATAAAATATTCAGCTCTCTTAATTCTTGGATTGTGTAGAAGAGATACAGATGGTAGTTTTTTAGACAAGAACAAAAATATATTTTTTGTGTGCGTAATTCAAGCAATGAGAAAGATTTTCAGAGAGTATCTTGCCTAGAGTTTGCTTGGGTGTTCATTTTAACTTTCTGTTTATAAATTTTTATGTTCTATTCAATAGACTATTGCAACAACAGTAATCCTAAAATTCATTTCTTTCATGTGCCTAAATATTATCCAGAATTCAAATTTGATCAGTTGTAATTATTGGTAAAATAGGCATTCTCAATAGACGCTCTTCTTCACAATTCGAAAACAATTTCAATATTGTCCTAAGTAAAACCAAATATCCTAAAATGTAGGTGAGCTGTGTTTATCAGTTACTTTTCACTATTCACCAACATCATACCTCTAAGCAGCTCTGGTGCCAACAAGAAGCCATGTTGTCTGCCAGCTTGAGAGCGAACTTCTCAGTTATTTTCACATCCAAGGGGCTTGAGAAGAGGTCAGTTTAGTATTATACAAACAAGATAGGGTAATGGGAGAAACAAGGCTTTTGGTTGGTTTTGTTTTTGTTGTTGTTGTTGTTTCCTATAAGTAATCTCTGAGTCCATTGCTAGCAATCTGGCCAGCCCAGTTAGTTGAGCCACAGGGAAGTAATAGTTGGGGTATGAGTACTGAGCTGTCACCATTCATCTGGGCTTGTAAATTAGAAACTTTGGCATAATTTTTCACTTTTCTCCATCTCTCAGCTCCCTAAAATCAAGTCGTTACAAATCCTTTCAATATTTACATCAGAAATATCTCTCAATGCTTCCTCCATTTTTCCAACCACTTCAAGTGGTCTGATTAAAGCCTGTTGTCCTCCTGAAGTAATCAGGTTTCTAGTTTCTCTCCTCCAATACATTCTCTATATGCTATCAGAGAGCTATTCCCAAAACATGAATCACCTACACTAATGGCTTATTAGTGCCAAAAATTACTGAAAGTAAATTTTATATATCAAATAGTGGATACAACCATCCCATAAAATGTATATTCTTATTATCCCCATTTTGTGGAAATAACACTGAGGCCCAGAGAGACTGAATAATTTGCCAAATTGCACATAGCTTATACATGGTGGAGACTGAGCCCTTAACAAATTTGCCTTATAGCTGCTCGATGTACCAATATCAGACCTCAGCTTGAAAACCTGTTTTCAGTCATTAAACCTCTCAGGATACTGGCTGCCTTCAGAATTGAATTCACTAGGGATTTCAAGAATGGTGTTGTCTTAGTCTTTTCCTGCTGTGATAACAAAATACCTTAGAGTGGGTAACTTACAAATAATAGAGATTTATTTCTCACAGTTTTGGAGGCTGGGAAGCCCAATATCAAGGCATAAGGCTGGTAAAGGTGGTTTCTTCACTTTCAAGATGGAACTTTGTTGCCTGTGACCTCACAAGGCAGAATACAGAGGGCTAAAAGGGGTAGTCATCTCTCTGAAGACTCTTAAAGGCATTAATCCCATTCAGGAGAGTGGAGCCCTTATGACTTAATCACACCCCAAAAAGTCTACACTTCTTACTACTCTTATGTTGGGGTTGAAGTTCCAACGTATGAATTTTGAAGGAACACATACATTAAAACCATCATAGGTATGTTAGAGAAATCAAACTGTATTCCCAGCTCTGAAAATAACTAGACCTTCTTCGTGCCTCATTTTTCTTTTCTGATACCTATTTGGACAATATCATCTATGTTGTCAGGCTTATTGAGTGTGTTGCATGCAATTAAGAACACAACATTATCTCTGGCATGGTTTCTTGGCTGTAATTTGTTCAATAAATATCAATTAGTTGAATATATTGCCACCTTAATGTCTCCCACAAATCTTATGATCCAGTCATACTTGATTGCTCAGTTTCTTAAAGAAGTAAAATATTTTTCTTCTACTAATACTCTGTTTAACCTTTAGAAGTTTCTCTTTACCTATAATGAATACTTCAAAGTATTTCTAAATGGATTGCCCTTCTTTTAGCTTCTTACCCTAAAGAAACCATCTTTATCCTTTCAAAGACAGGTCAAAAGACCTCTCTGTGAAGTTCCGCCTGATGTTCTCACTGTCTGCACCTCTGTGTCCCTATAGCACTTGGTTCTAGACTCCATGGTAGCCTCTGAAGTGTACTCCTTGTTATTATGTATTATTGTAGTTAATTTAGTCTATTTTTAGTTTATTCAGATAAAATACCAAGTCTTATTAATTTCTGTCTCCAGAATATACAGAAGAGTGACTAGTACTAAATGGGTGCACTGTAAGTATTCACTTAAAGAATGAAAAATAGATGAAAAATGGTACCATGTGGTTAGAAAAAAAAAAGCTACTTAAGATAATAAGATCTAGGGGGAAGTGTGTTATAAGAAAAGTGTGATGCTTTGAATTTTTTTTCATTTTCTTAAGAACACTTCTAAAATATTAAAAACAATTTTTACCTTAATTTTATTAGTGGCCATATTTTTTGTTTAGTAATCTAAGATATTAAATCATCTTCTTAGCCTGAAACTATATGAATAGCTAGAAAAATATTTAATGAAGGGTTAGTGAGAAACTCTCACCAGAAATTATTAACCTGTTACCTGAGTGTCACTCACTTGCTACCCCACCAATGACTTACTAGTGTCTCCAACAATCTCTAATAGAACAAATCGAAGTTTTTTTTCTGCTCTCTTCTAATTTGATTTCATTGCTATGGTTGACACAATATCTAATGCAACAATTTATCCTTCCATTGGTTCTTGAAAATTCTTAATCAGTAATGAAACTTGATTTCAGGGTTATACAATAATGCAAATGTAAAATGTAAAGTGATAAAGTTAGGTTATTAATCATTAATTATTATAATTTACAAATGAATATTTCCTCTCTCTCTTTACTGTACTGCCTGCATTTACAGATAGTACTGAACTACCAAGAAGCAATAGAGTCAGGTAGTTATAAGGCATTAATTACAGTAGTGAGAAAATATGTCTTATTATGAACAAATTAAGCAAGTTAATAGATTATGAGAAAACAGAATCCCAGATTCTCATGGCTGTTACTGAATATTCCATAATCTCTGTCTCATCCTCCTTTAATTTACATGGAATATCTAATTAAGAAAAGCAAAGGGCCCTTTCCATGATAGCTTGAATTCTGGCTGAGGCACCTCCTATGACTTTTCCCAAGTTAAAGTAGGCCTGCTTGTGTGCAAACTTGTCCTTTTCATGATTCCCACTGTTTTGTAGAATGTCTCACACTACTTTTTACTCAGAAAATGGGCAAAAACAGCTGTGGCTGGTGCTCAGTGGGCAGAAATTCAAGGGAGGAGTGAGAGAGGACTGTGGGTACATTTCTGCCTTTAGTTGGCTCATTTTGTAAAATGATCTCAAACGAGACTGTGCAGGGCAGGATGTTTGAGGTTCCCTGAGCCACGTGGCTTTTGCTTACCTGCATTTTCTTTCCAGATGAGTCAGAATACAGTGTATAGCAAGTGGACTCTCACCATTGTGGGTTTTATTGTTTCCTTTTTCTGTTTTATTTTATTCTTTCCTTCTTCCTTTGGGATCATTAGGAGTGTTTTCATTTATCAGTCTTTCTTAATTTTGATAGAACATTAATTCTTCCACATTTTTTGAAATACTGGTTTTGAGAGAAATGTAATAACTGCATGAGTTCAAGACAACTTAAAATGTCTCTTGCCTATCATAGAGATTATTGTCCTTTAGCCTCAAAACACTCTTCTTTCTTCTATTCAGTGAAATCTGTATCAATGACTTAAGATGATGGGCATGATGACATAAATGAAAATACAAAACTAGTGGTGGTTTTATAACAAATAACAAATAAATAAAAATCTATTTGTGTTAAAAAATGATCACCTATTTTAACACAGCCTTAGGGTATTTGCATATACTAATTAAGGCTATATCAATTAGACAAAATCAGTGTCAGATATGCAAGGTTGTGTGGTGTGTGAATGCTTTTTAATGTTTCTGTTCACTATTTTAGCTAAATCCATTAAAATTTATTCTGATTTTGCTAAAAAGTCCTATATACACCCTCTGTTTTCTTTAATAATATTAATCATTTGATCTTTAGCTGTACATTTATTCAAGGGGTTTACATGTAATAGATGTGCTCTTTAGATTTTAATTTTCTTGGTTGTAGGCAATGGACACCAGCCCTCTACTCAGTATAGATTTTCTCCCAAAGGTCGAACATTGAGTTTGAGCTCAGTGATTGGTTCTCCATATAAATTGCTTTAAGTGATTTTCATGACAGCTTTGGGAGCAGATATTATCTCATTTTACAGATAAGTTAAAGTGAGTTTCAGAGAAATTAAGTACTAATGATCACAGAGCAATGTGGAACTGTGATTTACAATTCATGTTTATCTATGCTTGCAAACTCTAGCACATTGCCTCTAAATGATACACCTCTTAAACATCAACCTACTCTATTCTATATTTCCCAGTTATAGTTCTTAATCATAGATTCTACTGATCATCCAAGGTTTAAATTTGATTAACTTGGTTAATATCAAAGAGTGAATAAAGCAAGGCATTTTGCATTTTAAACAGAACTTTATCAATCAAATGAATCTCTATCAGACAGAGTGTTAGATTTTTTGTGTGTGTGACAGAGTTTCACTCTTGTTACCCAGGCTGGAGTGCAATGGCGCGATCTCGGCTCACTGCAACCTCCACCTCCTGGGTTCAGGCAATTCTCCTGCCTCAGCCTCCTGAGTAGCTGGGATTACAGGCACGCACCACCATGCCCAGCTAATTTTTTGTATTTTTAGTAGAGACGGGGTTTCACCATGTTGACCGGGATGGTCTCGATCTGTTGACCTCGTGATTGGGAAGCCTCGGCCTCCAAAAGTGCTGGGATTACGGGCTTGAGCCACCGTACCCGGCCAGAGTGTTAGATTTTAGTAGAATGATGATAGCTAGAATATGCTTATCATCTGCATCATTTTTTTTTTTTTTTTTTGAGACGGAGTTTCGCTCTTGTTACCCAGGCTGGAGTGCAATGGCGCGATCTCGGCTCACCGCAACCTCCGCCCTCTGGGTTCAGGCAATTCTCCTTCCTCAGCCTCCTGAGTAGCTGGGATTACAGGCACGCGCCACCGTGCCCAGCTCATTTTTTGTAATTTTTAGTAGAGACGGGGTTTCACCATGTTGACCAGGATGGTCTCGATCTGTTGACCTGGTGATCCACCCGCCTCGGCCTCCCAAAGTGCTGGGATTACAGGCTTGAGCCACCGCACCCGGCTATCTGCATCATTTTTAATGGCATTCTTTTTTGCTCTTAAAAGTGTTCCAGTTTTGGACTATCATTGTATGGTTGACTTAGATTTTGGGGGCATTTTTGGTTAAGGCCCTCTCAGCTACTATATGTCTCGTCTTTATCCACAAAGTTATGAAGAAAATTCATAGAGTATTGTGGTTCAGTCGGAGGGACATGTATAGTGTCCTCTTCCCCTCTCCTTCCCACAAGAAAGTTTTATTTCCTGGCAAGATTTTGTGATTTGACAAAATTCACCGCTAGTATTTCAAAGGGAAAGCATAAATACATTGTATGGAGAGAATCTGGTTGATTTAAAATGCCTTCAATTTTCTGCATCTTGAGCCAAATGTCAGATTCAGTTCCTGCTACACAGCCTACTTTCTTGTTTCCCTGAGCTCCTCCCAAATCCTTTGTCCTCAGGATTCCTCCCTTTGACCACTGGGTTCCTTCTTCCTGAGATAGCCTTAATGTCCCCTCCCTGAACCCTTCAACACTCCTTCACTTTTAAGCAAATTCTGTACAGCGTCAATCTCAGCTTATTTCTAAGGTCTCTAAGTCCCTCAGGCAGCCTTCTCCACATTTCCTAACATGTTTTCCTTTTCTCTATTGGAAAATTTATGAAATTGTGTTGTAGTAATTTGTTTCTATGTCTGTCTTTTCCATTCTGTGTTGAACATTTTGAAGGAATATTTTAAGGCAGTTTTTAAAAAGTAGAAGAAATGGTGGGTGAGTAAAGAATAGACTTAGCGATCCCAGCAATACACTCATTTACAGATGAATATGTGTGTAAGGTGTCAGCATCTGTAAAAGTTGTATTCCTTCACCATATTGTCCCATTTTGCTAACTAAGAGAATGGTGAAAATTAATAATTTACATTGTTTATTGGCTAAGAAATTATTAACTTGCTGCCATGTGGTTTATGTATTATAAAGCAATTTATTCTAATACTTAATAACCTGTAACTCATTATAAAATTACATAAAAAATCACTCTTCCTAGTTAGCCTAGAAAGAAAAAGGTGAAAGATCAGAAGAGTTCAGATAGATCCCTGATGCCAACACAGTTGACTGATTCTGATGGAACATCCACAAGTTCAATAAAAGGAAGACTATCTCTACATGTTCTCATAATAATATGCGCATGTTTATAAATTATCCCAGCCCACTCTGGATCTCCTCAGTTAAATACACTTGATAAAAAATTTATAAAACCTTTCAATTATTCTGATGTATTTTTCTGCTATCTTTTCCCACCCATTGGAAGCAGCTTCATACTTACACTGGTCTCACAACACATTTAATTATTTTTTCCAAACCTTGGGTCATGGGTTGAGATTGTAAGGCCTGTATGCTATCAGAAGACACTTTAACAGTCACATCCTGATACAGGATTTCACCACTTCAGCAAGGACTTCATATCTCTACTCTCCCTCTCTGTCTCTGTCAAGGTGATATAATTTCACTGTTGAAAAATTAGAAAATACAGAGAAAAAATAGAAAAAAAATTTATCTTAATCCTAAGAGATCTCCACTGTTACAATGATGGCGTGTAGTGCAGCTCTAATTTTCCTACACAAATACACTTGTGTGTGCATTCATGCATGTTTTTAACAAGACCAGAACAGCACTATATATATCAAACTGTAGTTTGTTTTCCTTGCTGACAAATTTCTGTTGAACATGCATATGCTTTTTAATGATTTCATAGTATTTTTACACAGACAGCCCATAGTTGTTTTAATATCCACAGAATATTATCAATATTTATTACTTAATAATAATTGAACGCTTAACTATTTCTAACGTTTTACTATTGTGCAAATGTACCAAGAGTCTATTCATCCATCTAGATCACCTGTACTTCTTTTTCTTACAAAATACTTGTAGAAGTATAATTACTGCATAATAGTATGACTATTTTAAAAATTGTTGATACCTCTTGTCAAATTATAACTCCAAAAAGGAATATGTTTAGCTGCACATTTTATGTGTCTAATAGAACTTGGCATTCTTTTTAATTTTTGTTGATCAAGTAAAAAGAGTACCTTATTGTCTAAATTTAATCACTAAATTTAATCCAAAGTCTTTATTGAAAAACACACATAGAAAATATTTGAGGCAATTTATTTGCCTACTTAAAAAATGCTAAGTATTTTCAAACCTAGGGAGCAATGAGAATCTCTTTAATAGTTGACTATCCTCACTGGGTGCCCCACTTCACACCAGGTTCACTCTTCCAAATACTACTTTTCACATTCACATTTTCATTTAAGTACTTTGCTGGCATTTTTCCAAGCCTCATATTCAGACACTGATACCAAGTCTTTACTATTTAAATAATTTACTATTTAAAAGTTCAAACATTCTTTGACACATTTTCTCCTTTCTATAAATTAGATTTTAAGTTATTTTCAATATTTCTCATATATTTTAATATTTCTTATCTAAATAAACTGATGAAAATTGTAACTAATGAAAGAGCTTTTCTTCAGTAGTTTTTATCTTAATATATATGTATATGTATATTCAGATTTAAATATACTAAATATACTATATATACATATATAGTTTTGCTGAGATGCAAAGTGATGGCCAGGGAAGTTAGCAAAGTCATAATAAATAAACATTCTCGTAGGATATCATGTAACAGAAGTGAAATGCATTTATGAAATGCCACTTATAGTGGCATCGAATGCTCACAATTACATATGATATGTGAGGAAAGATATAAGCAACAGAATTATAACACAGTATTAGATAAACTGCTAAATTTATACCAATATAATATTATTAAAATGAATGCAGGGAAGGATCATTCTCTTCCTAGGCTGCCTTACTTAACCAAGACATGCAGAGCTCTGGTAATCTGATCTTTCTAGCTGTAACTCAATTGTCAGGTCTTCCCTCCAGGTGTTCTTTATAATGAATGTCACTTCACCAAGACTCAGTAGGATTTATGGATTTTCAGATTGTTGTTTTCCGAATTTGCTCCCCAATGAAGAACTACACAAAAATACCATTAATGATGCACAAATTCAACTGTCCTATTAGCTGGCATCTATTCATTCTAAAATCTCATAACTTGTTTCTTTGCAGGTCATGTTTCCAGAGTAAGAAGAAGGTGTCCTAGTGAAATTTCATACCGGCCAACATTCATTATTTTAAATATATTCACAGCAAAGTGTGCATAGTGTGAGTTAGACAACATTTTGTCTTAATTACTGGCACCCTCAATAACTTCAATAATGTATTTTCCTCTAAAGAATACTTCATCTCAAAGAGTTACTACTTTTTGTTATTAATCTAAACTTTTTGAAAATAGGAAGAATGCTGCTTACAGCCTTTAAATCTTTACCAAGTAAGATTTTATAATATAATTTTTGATTTTTCTTCAGTATTAGAAAATAAAACTAAATGTTGGCAGAGCTAATGCTCTGCTAGAGAAATGAAAATTAATTTCAAGTGTAAAAGAAAAGACATAATTATATTCATAGGTATTTCTTATATGGCAATTAAAAAAAATAATTGATAACATTTAAATTTTCTTTTCCAGAAGAAAATAGAGATTTTAGTTAGACTATCTACATTTAAACTTTCATAAACTTAAAATACAAAATATAAAGAATGAAGATGAAGTCTGCTCTTTAACAGCTTTAGTTGCATTATCAAATTCCTGGAAAAGACAAACAAAAGAAATCTCAGGCACTGAATTTTCATTCGAGCAGAAGTTATGTGTGCTGACTTCCATTAAAGATTCCAAGAAACACGGGCTAAAAAAGACCAGAAACTTTTTCTAAATGTAATAACTTTATTATACTATAAAGTACAGTAAAGACTATGTTATAATATAACCAGGCAAGGCTCTTTTGCTACTAATCCCATAGTCCTAGAAATGGAATTATCAGCCCCTCCCCATTACCACACTAAGTTTAACTATAACTCAAGTGAGAAATCAGATCCTGGAATTTTGTTATTTTTGTTGATTTTAGTTTATTTACATTCATGCACACTACTCTATTGGTAATTATTTTAAAGATTGAGCTAAATTATTCTGTGGCACTATGAAATTCTATACTTGGGCGTAAATAATAGAGTGTGGTTTGAACACTTTAAAATTAATAATATTTATTGAGTACTTGTAATGTGCCTGTACTCTTCTAAAATCTTTTTTATCAAGTTTTAGCACATATGAAGATATATATATTTTATTGTTTTACAGATTGAAAAGATGAAGTTCAGTAACTTCTTCAATACAACACAAGTAGTACATAGCAGCTTAGTGCAGACTGTCTTCTTTCAGAGCCGTGTGCTCAGCACTCTACCACCTTGCCCATCTCCTGTTCAGGTAGATGCAATGACTTACTCAGTACACACATATGTGCAGTCAGGTCTCCCCTTGACACAAAGTGTAAAATGTTTCTGGATTTTAGACATTTAGATGTTTTAATTTTGGAGGCTGCTAATCTTCTTTCCTGAAATGCAATTAAACCAACATCTGCCTCCGGCTGTACAGGAGGATGTGCTTGCGCCCTTGACACCCCAATCCTACTCTCCTTTAGAAGCAACAGGCATTATAATCCTTGTGTTTCCCATGTACTGTCAGGTTTAAGAACCATTGCTATATGTTGATTTGATTACCTATGGCTTCTGGAGGATTTTAGAAATAATTTAAATTCACCTCTGTTTCCCACACCTCCTTGCCTAGAGTAGCCGCTCAATAAATAGTTTCTTTAATTGAATGACTTGAAACATTAGACACATTCTCTTAACCAAGCTTGCATTTGATCTATTAGTTACTGCTTTGATAATGTGAAAGTACTTCCTTACCTGTTTGAAAGGGATGATAAGGAGGGACCATAGTCTAGTGTTTCAAATTGTGAACACTGGAGTTGTATTACCTAGCTCCACATCTTTAACATACACATTGTGTGATCTGTTACCTTTCTGCCCTGTCCTCACTTTCTTCATCAGTGGAATGGGAGCTATGATTATAATAGAACCTATCCTATACAGCTTTGTGAGGACTAACTGTGTTTACATTTGTAAAAGCACTTAAAACAGCTCCTGGTACCAGTAAATGCAATAGAAGTGCTAAATAAGAAAAGAAAAAAATGTGACAAGAAATTGGGTTTAAAATACATATTAAGCTTATATCTTATTGAGTTTTGTGCTCAAAATAACATTTTCAGTCACATCTGTGGCTTAGTAAAGCAATATAAAACAAATTTTGACATCAGTAGGTTAAAGAAGAAATCAGCAGTTTTTTGAACATTTAAAATGTGAAAATTTAGGGGCTTTATTATGGAGATTGTGGCCTCAGTCAAATTCTGGAGATTTTTTAAAAATTTTGAACACTGAAACTCACTTTATGTATGGCTGTATTGAAAATATCAACAGTTTGGAGAACTTGGGCTCACGATTTCCCTGTGTATCGCTGTCTTTCAGCTATATTAAAACAATTTCAGTAATGGTGTTCCAGGAACCACTACATCTTAAAGCAAAAGTTACTCAATTCACACAGTGAGTTGTAAACTCAGTAAGGTGTAAATTCTCTACTCTCCAGAAGTTAGTGGGACTCAAGATAAATTTTATTGAAAGTAAAGCTGTAAAAATAATTGTAAACCTATCTTTTGAAGAAAATATGTAGATGTAAATGTCCAAATATAAACACTACAGTTGAGGTGACCATATAATTTATTATTCAAAGCAAGATTCTTTTTAAAGTGAAAGAGGGAAGTTTTTATAAATTGTACCAAGATGCTAGAAAAAATCCAGGACTGATCCAGGCAAACTGAATGGTATAGACACTCTGAATACAAACTATACCTGACATTTTTCAAAATGTATGCCATTCTACAGTATAGAGTTTTCATGAACATTTTTTAGGCTTTCCAAACCTGTGAGTTTAAAAATGTAGCCACTCATTCTTGTGATGCCTGAAATGTTTATTTTGTAGACAAAGATGTTATCTTGCAATCTGGAGAAATGAGTTAGAATTACGCTAAGAATACATTGCACCTTCTGACTTCTTTCAGATAAGACTGCCAGTGAATCCCTCTGTAAATTCCATTGTTTAAGGTTCTTAGTAAAGAGAATTAACCTTAACCATTTTGTGAACCATAGTAAGTCACAAGCACAGCACTGGACTAAAGGTAAAAAAGATTGAGGTCATTGTTGATGGCAGCAGTCCCTTACGTGACTTTGACTTTGAAAAGGATCTTTATCTTGGAATCTGTTAAAGTGTGGATGTGGATAGGGTATGTGTAGAGCCATTTTTTTTTCTTTCTGGACTCTCCATCAGGCCTTAGTCATATGTGTTAGTCTATTTGTAATCCTGTGATAAAATTAGAGTTCTATTGCGTGTAACCTTTGTTATCTAAAAGATGTTTATTAAGTAGGAGGGACACCCCTGAAAAAGCTTGAACTGCTAGCATTAAAGCAGCCAGTTATTAACATTCTAATAAAAACAATACAGAATAATGAATTCAAATTTGTGATATAAAGTAAATTCATTAGTTCTCATGAGTAGAAAATGATTTCTTCAGATTTCAAGAGAAAAGTGCAGATATCAAAAAATCAAAATTAAGAAATAAGAAATTATTTCTCAGAGGAAAGTTAAAGGAAAGTGATATAGCTGGTATACTCATAATTATAATTCTGCAGATACAATACAAACATAAGGAAAATTATCTTTGTGAAAATTGGGTTTGTAAACAAGTTTAGCTTTTGCAGACTTATAATCCAAGAAAAGAAAGAAAAAAACTCAAAACATGAATTAGCCACTATAAATCTCCTCCCTTCTCTTTCCTTGCAAATTCAACAAACTTTTTCTTTTAAATTACCCTTGAATGTTGAGGTCATTGTATGTGATGAAATATCACCAGAAACATGATGGCAAAGTTAATGAAGGTATGAGGAATTATATCTTCCACACCTAACTGACTTTTCCTGTTGCCTGTGGCATCCTTTTCACTTTGTATTTGATCAATAAAAGTTTATGGAATAAATACCCAAAAAACACATTTTAGAATTTATGTGATGTGTAGCGATGGAAATTGCATTATTGTAGGTAGTTATATTTGGAGCTGAAAAATGCTTTATTTTTCCTTTTAATGAACTAAGATGATACAAAACAAACAAACAAAAACAAAAACAACAGCAAACAGGCTTTCATTCTGCATTATCTTTAGTTTAGTCTTTGTGAAAATTTAGTATTAGAAAATAATATCCAGGACATTCTTAGTTTAGGAGCCATTTCTCTTGTCTACTACTCTGCCTTATCCCCCAACTCTTTATTCCAGGGAACCATTGTCTTCCATCCAAACTAAGCATAGCAAGCCAAGGAGTGTAGAAATCCTTAACAGCACACACACAAAAAATGTACTACTGTCCTTCGAGTGGCAAGCAGATTAGCATTGTTTTTGCTAAATTACAGGATGGAATGATTTATATATCTAACTTTACTACTATCATGTTAATTAAAATTTCCATTTCAAAAAGTACTCTGACCTACAGAAGAGTTGCAAAAATATTACAGTAAACTCTCCTATAATCTTCGAGTAGATTCAGTTATTGTTTATAAGTTGCCTCATTTGCTTTAGGGCTGTCAATATTTTGTTTGTGTCATCTATTTATATACTCATTGCTATTTTGTATCTACTTATTTATTTTGCTGAGCCATTTGCATTTATTTGCACAGATGCTGACCGTTCATCTTTAAATGCTTCAATATTTTATCTCCTAATAATAAGGAAATTCTTTGATATAACCACAACTTAATTATTCAGGCAATTTTACACTGATACAATACTATTATCTAACAGACTCTAACTATAAATTTTTCCAGTTTCCTTATATTACCCTACAGATCATTTGTTTTTAACAGTTCAGGATTAAAGCAGTATCACATGCTGTAGTTTTCTGTCATGTCTCTTTAGTTTTCTTTAATCTGGATCACTTATGCAGCTCTTCTTGTCTTTCATGATATTGATATTCTTTAAGGGTACAGGTTCACTGTTTTGTAGAATGTCCAGTTTGGATTTCTTTGATGAAACCTCTTGATATGATTTAAGTTGTAGATTTTTGTCAGGTTTAAGTGTTATATCCTACTTTGACCATTGGTAGAAGCACTTGATGTTGTGTGTGCTGTAATTGGTGGGGTTAACTTTAGTCATTCGTCATGCCATGTTTTACATGTTGTGACAAAAACTTGAAAAATGAAATTTAACAATACCCCGTAAATAGCACCAATAGAATAAGTTTGACTAAAATGTATAAGACTTGGCCGGATGTGGTGGCTCATGCCTGTAGTCCCAGCACTGTGGGAGGCCAAGGTGGGTGGATCAT